TCCCTAATTATTTCGCAATTTTTTCCCTCATTATTTCCCGTAATTATTTCCCGTAATTATTTCCCTAATTATTTCCCGTAATTATTTCCCTAATTATTTCCCTAATAATTTCCCTCGTTATTTCCCGTAATTATTTCCCTAATTATTTCCCGTAATTATTTCCCTAATAATTTCCCTACTTATTTCCCCATTTATTTCCCGTAATTATCTCCCGTAATTATTTCCCTAATTATATCCCGAAATTATTTCCCTAATAATTTCCCGTAATTATTTCCCTACTTGTTTCCCGTAATTATTTCCCTTACTTATTATTTCCCGTAATTATTTCTATAATAATTTCCCTAATTATTTCCCGTAATTATTTCCCTAATTATTTCCCGTAATTATTTCCCTAATTATTTCCCGTAATTATTTCCCTACTTATTTCCCCATTTATTTCCCGTAATTATCTCCCGTAATTATTTCCCTAATTATATCCCGAAATTATTTCCCTAATAATTTCCCGTAATTATTTCCCTACTTGTTTCCCGTAATTATTTCCCTTACTTATTATTTCCCGTAATTATTTCTATAATAATTTCCCTAATTATTTCCCGTAATTATTTCCCTAATTATTTCCCGTAATTATTTCCCTAATTATTTCCCGTAATTATTTCCCTACTTATTTCCCCATTTATTTCCCGTAATTATCTCCCGTAATTATTTCCCTAATTATATCCCGAAATTATTTCCCTAATAATTTCCCGTAATTATTTCCCTACTTGTTTCCCGTAATTATTTCCCTTACTTATTATTTCCCGTAATTATTTCTATAATAATTTCCCTAATTATTTCCCGTAATTATTTCCCTAATTATTTCCCGTAATTATTTCCCTAATTATTTCCCGTAATTATTTCCCTAGGTTTCCCTAATTATTTCCCGTAATTATTTCCCGTAATTATTTCCCTTACTTATTATTTCCCTAATTATTTCCCTAATTATTTCCCGTAATTATTTCCCTAATTATTTCCCTAATAATTTCCCTCGTTATTTCCCGTAATTATTTCCCTAATTATTTCCCGTAATTATTTCCCCAATTATTTCCCGTAATTATTTCCCGTAATTATTTCCCTAATTCTTTCTCTAATTACTTCCCGTAATTATTTCCCTAATTATTTCCGTAATTATTATTTCCTTAATTATTTCCCGTAATTATTTCCCTAACAATTTCCCAAATTATTTCCCGCAATTATTTCCCTAATTATTTCCCGTAATAATTTCCCTAATTATTTCCCTAATTATTTCCCGTAATTATTTCCCTAATAATTTCCCTAATTATTTCCCGTAATTACTTCCCTAATTATTTTCCGTAATTATTTCCCTAATTATTTCCCGTAATTATTTCCCTAATTACTTCCCGTAATTATTTCCCTCATTATTTCCCTAACTATTTCCCGTAATTATTTGCCTAATTATTTCCCTAATTATTTCTCGTAATTATTTCCCTAAATATTGCCCGTAATTATTTCCCTAATTAAATCCGTAATTATGTCCCGTAATTATTTCCCGTAATTATTTCCCTAATTATTTCCCGTTCTTATTTCCTTAATTATTTCCCGTAATTATTCCCCTAATAATTCCCCTAATTATTTCCCGTAATTATTGCCCTAATTATTTCCCGCAATTATTTCCCCAATTATTTCCCGTAATTATTTCCCGCAATTATTTCCCTCATTATTTCCCGAATTATTTCCCGTAATTATTTCCCTACTTGTTTCCCGTAACTATTTCCCGTAATTATTTCCCTAATTATTTCCCGTAATTATTTCCCGTAATAATTTCCCGTAATTATTTCCCTAATTCTTTCCCGTAATTATTTGCCTAATTATATCTCAATTATTTCCCTCATTATTTCCCGTAATTATTTCCCGTAATTATTTCCCAAATTATTTCCCGCAATTATTTCCCTAATTATTTCCCGTAATTATTTCCCGTAATTATTTCCCGTAATTATTTCCCTAATTATATCCCGAAATTATTTCCCTAATAATTTCCCTACTTGTTTCCCGTAATTATTTCCCATAATTATTTCCCTAATAATTTCCCTAATTATTTCCCGTAATTATTTCCCGTAATTATTTCCGGTAATTATTTCCCGTAATTATTTCCCTTATAATTTCCCGTAATTATTTCCCTAATTATTTCCCGTAATTATGTCCCGTAATTATTTCCCGTAATTATTTCCCTTACTTATTATTTCCCTAATTATTTCCCTAATTATTTCCCGCAATTATTTCCCTAATTATTTCCCGTAATTATGTCCTTAATTATTTCCTGTAATTTTTTCCCTAATAATGTCCATAATTGTTTCCCGTAATTATTTCCCTAATAGTTTCCCTAATTATTTCCCGTAATTATTTCCCGTAATTATTTCCCCAATTATTTCCCGTAATTATTTCCCTAATTATTTCCCGTAATTATTTCCCTAATTATTTCCCATAATTATTTCCCGTAATTATTTCCCTAATTATTTCCCGTAATTATTTCCCTAATTATTTCCCGTAATTATTTCCCTAATTATTTCCCGAAATTATTTCCCTAATTACTTCCCATAATTATTTCCCTAATTATTTCCCGTAATTATTTCCGGTAATTATTTCCCGTAATTATTTCCCGTAATTACTTCCCTGACAATTTCCCTAATTATTTCCCGTAATTACCTCCCTAATTATTTCCCGTAATAATTTCCCGAATTATTTCCCGTAATTATTTCCCTAATTATTTCCCTAATTATTTCCCGTAATTATTTCCCTAATTATTTCCCGTAATTATTTCCTCGAATTATTTCCCCTAATTATTTCCCGTAATTATTTCCCTAATTCTTTCTCTAATTACTTCCCGTAATTATTTCCCTAATTATTTCCGTAATTATTATTTCCTTAATTATTTCCCGTAATTATTTCCCGTAATTATTTCCCTAACAATTTCCCAAATTATTTCCCGCAATTATTTCCCTAATTATTTCCCGTAATAATTTCCCGAATTATTTCCCTAATTATGTCCCGTAATTATTTCCCTAATTATTTTCCGTAATTATTTCCCTAATTATTTCCCGTAGTTATTTGCCCAATTTTTCCTGTAATTATTTCCCGTAATTATTTCCCTAATTATTTTCCGTAATTAGTTATTTCCCTAATAATTTCCCTAATTATTTCCCGCAATTATTTCCCTAATTATTTCCCGTAATTACTTCCCGCAATTATTTCCCGTAATTATTTCCCTAATCATTTCCTGTAATTAATTATGTTCAGCAATGATTTCCCGAATTATTTCCCTAATTATTTCCCGTAATTATTTCCCTAATTATTTCCCGTAACTATTTCCCTGATTATTTCCCTAAGTATTATTTCCCGTAATTTTTCCCCTAATAATTTCCCTAATTATTTCCCTAATTATTTCCCGTAATTATTTCCCTAATTATTTCTCAATGTTTCCTTGTTAATGTGTTTTTTTATTTCCATTTGATTACTTCACATTTTTGTTGCTATGATTCCCTCCTGTGATGTTTTCCCCCTGTAAACCAAACATGCTCAACGACCTCACCAGCTGTTCATCCAAGTACCGATCGGAAATAAAGGGATTTGACCCTCAAAAAACGTTCCACTCAACGAATCATTGCAAACCCAATAGGCACAGTGGTCCCCACCCGTCCGACTTACACTTTCAATAGGCTTTGGGGAGAAAGAACACAGGAAACCATTAGAAACCTTTTAACATTATGATAAACTGTCGTTGATTGCAAATGACTATAATTGAATAATATTGAATAGTTGTTCAATAAATATCAACCCATTGAAAGTGTCCTTGAGTCTGTGCTCCCGCCTTCATGGTCCTATCTCGGCTGGCCGTGATGAAGGAATCTCCTGGAACCGGGTCTAAGATCGGCAGCTCAGAATCCGGATCCACAGACCACCTTTCAAACTTTTCAACCCCCAAATGCCTTAGAATCTTGGAACTTGGTCAAAGATGGTCAAACCATTTTGATCTTTGATCAATCAATCCCACCCGAAGGTTTCACACTCCTGAATCCAGCTGCCTCACTCTGAAGATGCCACTTAGGTGAGCCTTGCAACTGGAGAACAACTAGCCCGAGATGGTTCAAGTTATGTTCAATTCCAAAGAAGTCGGCACAACCTCATCCATCGGTTTCTGATTATAGTATATGTCTTAGAGATTCTTTGAGTATTGTTTTAGACGTGTTTCTATGGCTTTTCATACAAAACGTCAAGCTCGCCTGTTCCAAGCTCGCCAACATGGCCAAGGTGTTAAGATCCCAAACCCTCACCGAGCGGTCCTGGTGTGCATTGAGATGTTGGGGAATTGACATGACCTATATATGATATATATATAATATAATATAATATGTATATATATATATATTATATATATATATAGACCTATGCCCAAGAAAATGCTTAAAAAAATGAATCCCGTCATCCAGGTTGGAAAAATCATGCTGAGTATCTCTGACTTATTCACTCTTTTTGAGGTGCTGAGGAAAAAACATTTCAACGAGTGGGGTGGATCAACAATTTGCGCGCAACTTGCCCATTGCTTGCTCAGTTGAACCTTTGGATTACCCATTTTCCCAACTTTTCCCAACCACTTGAAACCGCGATTTCCAGCGGGTGGTGCGGTGGCGCGTTCCCCCCATTTCCAGCGGCATTTTTTCTCGCGATGTCAGCATGGCGCCATCGGTGGCAGGCCTCGGCTCCAAGATTTTTATGGCCTTCAAGGCATACCATGGACAAAATGGTGGAAATGACATTCAAAATCAAAACCATCAGAGCCATGGGGGGTTCCAAATTTTGAAAGACTTTAAGGTATTTTGAAATATTTTGAGATACCCAGATAAAAAAACTGAAAATTGTGTCACACAACAGGGGATTGTTCGATGATTTTTGAGACCTAAAATTTTCACACCAACCTTTGCATCAGCTCCTGCGGCCCGGCGTTGCCATTTTTTTCCGCGCCAAACACATCGCGCTGGAGACCGGCGCCAGCGGTTGCGTGTTGCACGCCGCCGAAGACGCGCGGTACCCAAAACGATGACCCTGTACAGCAAGACGTCTGGTACGCGAAACCAATGGTGAGTTCAAGGCCAACTGAAACGACTTCAAAGATGTTAACAAGCAGTTGGAACATGCTTGTCGGTGATGGTCAAATGATGTCAAATGAATTTATATATGATACATCCTAAAAACCTTTCACTTCATTTTGATCTTTTTCACTTCTTCTTGTCCAAAATACCTCGTGCCACCGGTTTCATCTGATGGCTTTCTGTGTAGACTTCATCCCACCTTCAGCAGTTCAACCTCGTAGCACCTCAGAGCACCGACCGGTGATACGCTGCTGCCTGGAAACAGCAAAAAGTCGGAGAATGTTTCTGCTGAACTTGAAAATGTCAATCCATATCCCAAAATCAAGTTGGCTAAATGACAACTATCATCAACTATCATCAACTATCTCCTTTATATGATATATTTATTTATATGCCATGTGCCATCTTTGTCCATTTTTGGCCGACTTAGACATCCCCTTGAGATGTTGAGATGTTCCAAGGCGCAAGTCGGAGTACGGTGGGATGCACCCAGCACCAGCCTTTCCTCGGTCAACATACCCGGATCATCCCAGTAAAATCAATGAAAAATGAACAAAAAAAAACGACAAAAACCAAAGAACTTCCACATTCATGCAGACATGCAGACATAGAAATATTGAATTAATATTGATCTCCATTCTCTATGAACTACTAGCCTTGATTCTTCTATTCTGCGAGCCGCAAACTCCAAGGGATGGAACCAGCACCCCGAAAAAAAAGAACTCTTGCCTTGTTTCGTCCCAAAAAATCATCCTACATCCCTTGCTTCCCCAAGATTCCAAGTATCAGCTCCCCATATCCCAAGATATCCCAAGCAACGACAGGGCAAGGCGCCATAGGCATAGTCCGATCTGACGCCCAGCGTGGCCTTCTCTCCTTGTGACATTCGCAGAAGTCCTTCGTCCCAGCCCTTGATCACTTCCCCGGTACCGATCCTGGCGCCACAATTCACGCTGGAAACCATGCAGACCATTCAGTGCCAACTGGATGATATCTGATGATATCAGCAAATATTGGGAAAAACCATATTAAACCATGGAGTTTATCAATGTTTATCAGGTTCTATCCCTCTTGGAGAATGCTTCAGCCGCCGAAAAGGAAAATGAGGTACTTCAAATTGGATTCTGGTAATCAAACGTGGCATCCGAAAAATCCCCGAACTGGAGATTTGATATAAGAAAATCATCAACGGATGGGTTTTTCTACCGCAAGGTATTCTAAACCAAACCTCCCACCTGAAGCTGAAAGGCTTCTGCCGGGTCCAGCTGGAGTCGAAGGACGGCGGTTGCCGACCTTCTTTCAGCACGGTGCCCGAGAAGTGCCTCGGACGAGGCAAAACATCTGGGAATGGCTGGGAATGGAGAATTGATGGTGATAAATTGGGATTGTACTGGGAAAATATGCGAAATATACAGGGTTTTCTGAAACGTGGCTTATCAAAGTGGGATTGGTATTGATGATGATATAATGGGATAATGGATGATCATCCCGCTGGAAGCATCAACACTAATCTACTGAGGGTGAGCTGAATATGTCCAGCTGGGATGTCGCCAAAAAATGGATTGAACCACCCATGGTATCCCAAGCTCAGCTTTCCACAACAGAAAATACAGGGTGAAATTCAATCAATACCTCTGTGGAATGCAGCTTCCAACAAGTCGAATATGTTGAATCTCCAGCATGAAACCACAGCCTTTCACGCTATAAAACCTCCATCCCTGATGATCTCACTGAATCGCGGCCAAGCACATTACGAGTTGATCACCTTCCTTGGGAAAGGTCGTTCCATCCCCCGGGCGCATCGTCTTCACCTCAGCGATGTGAAAGAGGTGGATCAACAACGAACATATGGATTTCAGCACAATGGAATATATGGAATATATACCAACTATCCATATATGGAATAAGGTTTCAACGTGCTTTTTCCCAACTGTTCACCCGGTCCTTTCTGGTACCTCCATTTTGTTTTGCGGATGGTAACCAGGATGTTAGGATAACTGCCCATGCCAGTGGGTTCAGTGGTCGGGACCTACAGCTGGTTCACAGCCTGTCAAGTTTCTATGGAACCTCCAAACTGGGACCCTTCTTGTTGTTCCACTTAATATAAACTCAGTATATATCCACTTGAGTCTGGCTGAATTTCACTTTGAGAAGAGAGGATCGACATGGGTCATCCCAGTGTCAATTTTCACTACAATCCACTTGGTCGACCGTGAACAAGAATCCAAGTGCTATCTTGTTAATTAAGTCAAATCCCGGTATAATATTGGATTATTGTTCACCTTAATCAAAATAGCAATACAGTGCAATACTAGTTCAATGTTATATGATCAATTTCTTCTGCTTAACTCTTCATGAAAACCCCATGTCTTCTATAAGTTTGAACTCAATCGGCCAAGGGGCTACCACGGGTTCAGCCTTCAGCTTCTCTCGCATCAGGGCTGCAGCCTAGTGCAACATGGCCATCTTGATAGGAAAATGATGGGAAATGACCCAAATGGCTTGTTGATCTTCACATGACTCAATTTCACCACACAAATAAGGGATGACATGCAGATGGATGGATGTATATGTGTTTTTTTGGATCTTTCAGCATATACACTATACACCTTGTTCTGCTCCGCTCCGGCTGCGTCTGTCGCCGCATTGGTCTCTTGCCTCAAGGGCAGGTTGAGATCAAGATGACAACAGATAAACCCTGAATTTGGGTTTTGTTACTACAAAATCCAACTCAACTATATATACTAAACTATACTAAATGTTCAAAATCCAACTTAATTTGGTATATTTGTTTGTAGATGTATCCATGATTGTTCCCAAAGGATCTCCGGATTTTCATCTCAGAGGAGCAAAATCTCAGGTCTAAATGTAGCCGGTTTCTTGAGATCTACCACATGGATATATGTATTAATATGTATTTGTAATATGTATTAATATTAATTATTGTGATATGTTGTTTTCTCTTGTATCATACAATACCCCACATATAAAACTTGAGTGGTTTGAACCCAACACATAGCCATCTACTCTCATTTATTCCACTAGTTTCGCTAAAAGACATTCTGCATATGTTGTATGTTATGTTTTTCTGCTAGCAGACTAGCAGCCGTTTGTAATCATTATTTCAACCAATAGTTGCTTAAACACCCCACCACTGTTGGTCGAAAGCCTCATTTCTTGCTGGAAACCCATGGGATCTCATTTCAAAGCGAAGCAACTCCAGCAGACTCCTGCTGCTGTTTAACGGATATATAAAACAAAGAACAATTCTTTGGCAAACAGCTATTGAAATGCCAGTTGATAGGATACTGAGATAGTTTATATTGGGATCCACGTTTGTTCCATGTCTGGGAATATCTTTTGTTTATGGGGATAGTTCAATATATTAATTAAACTATATTTTGTTCATGTTTCAATTAAATCATCACAAAGTGTAGTCGATCCAGGGCACTCAGCCCCATGCGGCGACCGCGACCGCGCGCGCGGCGCCGGGGCGCCGAAGGCTGGTGCACCGAAGGCGGCTGCGCCGAAGGCGGCTCCGCCGAAGGCGGGCCTCGGGGCTTCAAGCGTGCTCCAGGGGGGGATAATACGGATTTTCCATCTGAGATGTCATTGTGCAACATAATAGATGTATAAATAGATGTGGAGGAATTGCCAGAATGTCCTTAGTGAACAGAAGTGGCTAATGTTAGGAATAATATGGAATGATCAGAAGCTTGTCTTGGAATTGGGAACCCCAAAATCCATCAAAATCCCATGATTGATCATCTTGCTCCGCATGAAAATTGCCTTGACCCAACCCCAACTTCGCCAGCTCCACAGGTTGCACCCTTCCAGGGCACCCAGCGAATGCCCAGATGGGTATTGGGTCAGTTCATGCATCGTTCCCATTTTGATGGCCAAAAAAATGAAGCCAATAATGAACTCCCACCAATAATGGAGTTTTATAATATTATTATAATGGTAAAATATGGTAAATGTTTATCCCAATTTTCCATGATCCAAACTCCCACCATCCTTTTTGTTAACTCTTAACTTTCAGCCCCAATAGATTCCAACGCGTCCAAGCGGCGAAGGACGTTTGAAGGCTGTCTGCTTGGTCCGTGCCATGGCTGGAGTCCAAATGTGGAAGGGCTGAGATGGGCTGAGATGGGCTGAGATGGGCTGAGATGGGCTGAGATGGGCAATGGCAAGGCGTATGGTATCATCAATTTCAAGGATTTTTGGTGTCTCTGAAAATCATGCACTTCAAATATCCTTGGGAATTACCATCAAATACCACCCATATCACCAAAACTTGTCTCTGATTTTCATTGATTTTCTATTACCACCAATACCACCCATACCACCATACATCAAATAACAAGTTGTTCATTGGGAAAATTATTTTCTCAATTTGGACCTCCCTCTTGGCCCACGACTGAGCTCCAGACGCAGCAACGTCGCACCATCAGAGCTGAAGAACAGCATCCAACAACTAACTGATGAGTTCTATGATTTACTAAGTTTACCTTGTAGAATATATATATATATATATATAGAAATTATATGAACGTATAGAAGTACATCATCCGTTCTGTGTCAGTTTTCTCATGAGTTTTCCTGGTGACTAGCGGAATGTACTTTCCGGTCGAGTTCGTAGAACTCTTGATGCTCTCTGATTGCACCAGCCACTCCATGTTCGAGCCCATCGCAGAATCAGAGGATGCTCCAATCAGTTGAACTATTCCGTGTCTTGTCAGGTGCATATTGTAGGGGTCTGAATATGAATATGAATATGGTCATCCTTTCTTCAAAGATGATGAAGAAAGTTGTCCAAGGTCCAAGGTCATAGCCCTGTTATCCCCTTCTGAATAGGGAACTCTGCATGCTCATTGATAAAAATCCACAACTTCAATGGCATCAGAAATCGATGTCCTCTCCACCAGACACCAGGACTTCTGAACCTAGTCCAGGAGGTGGTTTCAAACATTGGGCTGGCTCAAGGGATTTCTTTACAGTTGAAATCCTGGTGTTATAAAAGGTGGATTCTGGTTTCAATTGTTCCCTTCATCCCAGTCTACAACTATATAATAGCAAAAAAATGCAAGAAAAGGGAAAGACATCAACCGCAGAATCGGGTGAAAATCTTCTGGTCACCAACAGTTTCATTAGAAAAACATCCAAATGAGGAATGGAATGTGGAATGGATAAGTCTGAAAAACTACTTGAAACATCAACCAGGGAATTGCCAGCGGATCCCATCGACTCACAACGGGCGCACCTTCAAAGAGAACCAGGCTGTTCACCTCACCTAGGGCTGTTAGTTGATTTTTCGCCATATTTCTAGGTGATCTCCCCATGTTGGTGGCTTAACTGCCCCATATCGCTGGGAGTCACATCCGTAGCAAGGTACTGGTGTGGCCGTAGAGCGTCTTGGTGGAGGAAAAGGTTTCCAGGCTCCAGATCTTGATGGTCTTGTCCTCCAGAGGCGTCATCAAATGTGATCAAATCATTGCAGCTGGATATAGCGGTAAAAATGGGTAAAAACGGGTGAAAATTGGTAAAAATGGATGAACAAGTGTTAAACATTGGTAAAATATGTTGAACAAATCTCTTGTTGAAATGTTGCTCCGGAGAGATGGGAGCGGAATGATTGAGTTTGGGTTGCCTTTTCAATAGCTGCATCGTCTCTTTGTCCAAATTTATTCTCAACTGCAGCTGACACAGTGATGGTCATTGGTCACTAGAATGCCATCTGTGAACCGTGAACCCCAAGAAAAATCTCCTGAGAACCAGAGCACAGCATCTTCCTCGACAGGCTGGCCTCAGGCTTTGTCAACTGGCGTATCCAGTGGCTGCAAGCCATTCACGTCACCATGGGTGGTTCTTGGGGGAAAAGCCATTTGGGAATTGAATTCTTCATGAAATTCATTATATTCATTGTTCAATTCCATGTCGCCATTGCAGAATCAGCTCACGTTCAACACAATGTCCAGGATGAATCAAACCCCAGGTGACCAGGAGATTCCACAAAATACTTACTCTAATTCCAACTGATTATGAATACAGTTCCCATATTGTCATTAAATTAGGTGTCAAGCCTATCTCCCGCGCATGAAATTATATAAACAAAAATCACAAGGCTTCAGCTGCCATCACTGAGCTTCCCGTCTGCCATGCACTTCACAAATCCGCGATGGCCCGGCAACGTGCCAATGTACTGCGCCAATGGGAGCTGAATCCAAGGTATTCAGCAATTCAAGGGGTTCAAGGTATATGATCAATACTTATTTATGATCAACTATCTCTCGTATAATCCGAGGTACATAATATCTGTTCATATATTATCAAACCTTGATACACTATCCACAATTCAAGGTTTGCTTCTACCAGTCATTGGACGATTCAATTTGGAAACGCCGATCGGTGAGTCATCAAGGGCCCATCCCCACCTGCACAAAACGCTCAGCATCGCTCAGCACTGTTTTCAGCTGCAATCATCAAAAAACCATCAAAAAGCTACCTTCAATCCCAAAACTTCAACCCAACCCATCCTCATTCATCCACCATTCATCCACAGCATCCCCACCTGCAAGTTGTTGAGGTCCCAGATCATGATGTTACAATCCTGGGAGCCCGTGAAGAGCACGTCGCCCACGGTGCAGAGGCACTGCACGAAGCCATTATGACCCGCCAAGATGTGGACGCAGTGCCTGGAAGAAAAACTGCCCAGCTGCGATCGGATGGCAGGGTCTGAGTACCCTCTGGTAATTTAACATTGAAAATCATCATTTTTAATGGGAAAATCCACTATTAATGGTCATTTTCAATAGCTATGTTAATTTACCAGAGGGTATATCACTGAATTGAGGAGTTGAAAGAATATCTAATGAATATTATGTAATAAATCGAAAAAATAGACTCTGGAAGAGCCTGGATTTTTGCAACTCCTGGATTTTTGCATGCTCTTGCAAAGTTCCGACATATGTACGTATAAATCTGCCTATGTTCGTTTACGAGTTTAAGCTTGATATAGGAACAATGTATTCGCCATATTATTGCTACTATTACTGTCACTATTGTTATTGTCATTGTGATTGCTATTGATCAAACAAATATAGTATAGTCACATATAATCAAATAGTGAGAATTTAATGTATTCTCGATAAAATAATGTTGGTTAAGGTCAGCATTTTTCACCAGACCTCCCATGCCACGCCCTCGCTGGGTCTCCCCAACTCCTCCGGTGCCGACACCTTTGGAGGCTGCGCTTGCAGATCACCTCATGGTGATGATCAGGGCTATTAGCCGGCTATACTATTGATCATTGGATTGGTTTACGGGAAAAAATACTGGCAAAAACCATATCTAATGGTAAAAAACATATTAAAACTGATTAATGGTAAAAATTCCAGGAAAACCCCATATCTAATGGTAAAAACCCATGGTTTCCTGTCGGACTTCCAAGCAACTAATATGGTACCTTTTTTAATGCTGAAAAAGATTGGGATGGAAGATGAATCTGTCCTTTGGACATAAGCCAGCGATTAAGGGTTCAATCATAAACTGTCAGTGTGTTTTTGCTTATTCGTCTGGACTGATTGGCAGAAGCCCGGCTCAGCAAGAACATTCACAAATGGCAACTGAATGAGCCAACGTTGGCAGCTGAATCTGGTGGAATTTTCCTCAGGTTACTGGCTGCATGAACTAAGCTGCAAACTGGCTGCCGAGGGCACTGTCCTGCAACAAGTCATATGACCATGTGAAGGTGTCCATCGACATTCACCAAATCTGTTCAAAAAAAACGAAGATGAACCAAGAATTTCTTGAGCAAAATCATCATAAAATATTGGAGGCAGTAGATCGCATCTACAAACAGTAGTCTTGTGACCCTGCAGTTCTGCATCGTCATGTCGAACAGTGGACCAACAGTGGACCAAGCCACTGTTACCGGAACAGTTCCAAGATGTTCCAAGAATCCCCCCGGCCCGTTGTTTCTTTAATATCTGAAAATTATATCATATATCTGCTATATCACTACTATTTATAATATATATATAAATAGTGATATATCAGATATATTATATAATATAATTTTCATATATATTATATATATACGGAAAATCATGTTACCAGAAACTCGGATTTTCCAATGACTTTCACAGCCCAACCCCAACGGCAACGGCAACCCCCGTCTTCAAGGATGCGAGCGAGGCGGCACCCCGCGCCGGCGAGGTGCCACGGCCAGCCAAAGTGCCTCCAGTGATGTGACCAATGCCACATGAAACATGTGGTAAAAAAGGGAGTGAACTTACATATCATTACATATCATTACATATCATTAGTCCATGATACATTACATATCACTTATATATCCATTAGAATTTAGAAGTGACACATTCTAATGGATATATAAGTGATATGTCATGGACATATATCACTAAGTGTCATATTTGACTGAAAATGAGATACCCCTGAATCCACTGCCCACCGCGTGACATTTGGGGCTATATTAACATTACTAACCATGTTCAGACAAAACATGACAAAACCATTTTGGCAGTAACTGGCAATGATATTGGATGGAAGTCATCCTCCTGTCTGATCCTTTGGAACGCCCCCAGCCTGATGCACTACCAGGCGCTGTTGCCTCGCAAACGCCAAGGAGAAAGGCGCAACTGAGCATAAGTGGCATCAAAAATCGTTCAAAAATCGAATGATGGGGATATGAATGGGGGGTATGACACAAATGTCCAATGCTATCCCATCATATTCCCCAATAAGCGTGTGGGATAGGCATCGAAAAAACTAGGTCCTTGGAAAAATCGCAAGTGGGTGACAAAATACCTCCATTCGACAACACTGAAGTGCCTCCCGCTGAGCACGTGGTACAACTGGGCCTCACATCATTTTGGTCATCCAAAGGCGACACCATCAGCTAGGAAGTAAACAGTCCCTTGCCTGGATGTCCTGGGGTGGAGCGTTTGGGATAGCCTGGTGCAGCCACCAAGGCTACAGGAATCCATGAGGGTGGCTACATGACAAAAAAACATGAAAAAAATGGGAGTGTAACCATAAATAGATGGGGTGCTACTTCAAAAAATCAAAGTGATCCCAATGTTTATACAACGTTTTTCCCATCACATCTACAACATACATCTACAATATGATATTCCATAGAAGGCACGCAATTAAAAAAAAAAAAAAACGGAAATTCACCCAAAAAATGCCCCATTTACCACCCCGCCTCCACTGGCAGTTCCCACACCACGACTTGGCAGCGTGTTCCTAGCCGGGGCAGAAGCCTCGGTTCACATCAGGTGCCAATATGTGCCAATGATGAAATCCAATGATCGTGTGAAAAAAGTGAAGTCCAATGATAACCCAAATAAAAATAGGTAATTAGTACTTCCAATAATTCTGCTCGTACATGCGCATATTCAAAGATCAACATAGATTTTATATGGGGACAGTAGTAGTCTCCAATGAAAAAATGGATGGTAATCCACTGGGCACCCTGACAGTCACGCGCCGACTGCTCAACACATCTCGTCGGGGACCTCAGAACGACAGGCCAGTGCCAAAATCATGCAACATCAGTCCATCCTTGAGCTTCAGATTTGGAAAGTTTTCCACCAAAATCAACAGTTGTTGGTTGAATTTTGAGCTTTTCCATGTTGGAACTTGGAACAACCACATCTGACCCGAATGGATCGGTGCACTGGGCTTTCCAAGCTCTCCCCTCGCTTAGGCGAAGCCTGCCGCTCCGCTGGCGAGGCCCTCTCTGTCCTGGGCGGCATGGAACGTAAAAGCACACCACTGTGCTTAGTATTTGGGGGAGCATTTTTACTTTCTGGGGGAAAGGTTTATTTGAAGGGGGAACTTTGACAAGACCTTTGTTATCCCCAATTGGTGAGTCTCATGCAAATGTTTCCTGAAAATCATTGCTGCGATATGACAAAACCCTCAAAATCTGGATGGTTCCATATATGTAGCAGGCTCAAAACAACGGAACGAATGGGGACATACCTTTCTGGCAGGGACTGAACCCAGTTTTGACTCAATGCTCAAGGGACATTCTTGGGGAACTGCCTAGAAGGCGCATAGAAGGCGCATAGAATATCGGAAGGGCCGGTAGTTGACATGAAATTGAACAGTTGAAACTCATTGTCATTGGTGGAAAATCAAACATCGTCAACAACTATCAATGACTATCCGCCACACAAGGACAGGATACACCCCGGTCCTTGAACCATTCCGCTGACCCAATGGTACCACCTCACAAAGCCACTGAATCACAGGAAGCATTGCCATGGAGTCATGAAATAGATCAGTTTTTCATCCATTTACTTCATGAAAACCTCCAATCAACAAGCGTTTTCCCCAGATTGTTTCTTCTACTTGGGATGTAAAGTTTGATCCATCCCCTGCAGTAAGTCGCCGGGCCGTCAGGTGGGTGTCATTGGGAATCGTTGGTGAGATCACCTCGCGTTGAGGAAATTTGGAAGCGCATCGCCACTATTTCCGGAACAAAACATGGAAATCAGGACAAAATGTGGTATCTCAATGTATCTCATGGGTTTTTCACTTCACAATTCGTCACATCCCCATGTTTTTTCCCCCAAACTCCCCGCATTGAACTCGCCGTGTTCAACTCGGCCAAAGGACCACCGCAGTGTCGCCGTCCAGGAACTCCACTGAGGAGCCCGGAGCCAGGCCGCACGCCTGTTTTAGACGTGTTTCGGACACCAAAGAATTACTGTACCGTTCGGGATTACAACTGTTTCACCAGGATTCTTGGATTGAACATATTGAACCAACATATGAGCTCCCATCAACATCCTTTACATGTGAGTAGTTGCTATTGTTATTATGGCTATCGCTTTTGGGGGGCCCTATCGCTTTCCAGGGTTTTGTGGAAATCAGCATATTCGAGATCCAACATGAAGCCCAAATCCATTCCTAAACAGGCTCGGAAATGGATCGAGGAGTTGTTTTGTTGGTTTCAGGTTCTTCTGCATTTTCCTTCATGTTCCTTTCATTTGCATGCATATTCCTTTCATGTTGCATTCATTTCCTGTCACGTTCCTTTCATTCTCCTTTCATGTTCCTTTCATGTGTATTCATTTCCCTTGATGTTCCTTTCATATTCCTTTCATTTTCATTCCAATGTGCATTCATGTCCTTTCATCTTCCTTTCATTTGCATGAATGTTCCTTTCATTTTGCATTCATGTCCTTCATTCCTTTCTAAAGTTATGGAAATGGCTCTATGGCTTGGCCAGGGAACCGAGTGCAACAAATGGTTATCGCTAAGTTATCGCTAAGGTTATCGCTAAGTAACCCCTCGAACATATGACATTGTTCGAAAGAAAATTGAAATTTGCCACAAAAAACGACAGAGTGAGAGAGAGAGAGAGAGAAACAGAGAGAGAGAGAAAGAAAGAAAGCAAAAAAAAGAACGAAAGAAAGAGCGAGCGAGTTCGATGCCAAATGATGTGGGAAACAGGCCACCACAGGTTGAATTCTCTCATCGGTTTTGCCTGTGAATGTGCATAACAGTATTTGCTTGGTTTATGCCAAGTTTAACGGACTGTCGTGTATGGTCCCAGGTTGTCGCTTTTGGGGGGCCCTATCGCTTTACAGTGTTTCGTGCACATCTCTGACAAAAATAACGCCTGCACTTCCAAATGGTCAACCATTTTCACCGTGACTATCGGAAATCCTAATCCAACCAGCTTTTATTTTGGATTTTTTGGAAAAAAAACATAGCACTCGTGCGGCTTGTACTCGTAGCACAGTGCCTTCACCACGGTGTTCTCGATTTGCTCGGGAGTTGCTCCAGGATACCACACCACAGGCCTGCCAGGGGGGCCCACACGGAGAATCCGTGGTGAATCCGTGGTGAATCTCATGAATTTGCCCACCGAGGGAGCCAGTGATCATAATTGATTGGATGATAAATATCTTATCAATTCAAGAATTGATGAGAATCAACTTACTTGGGGTTTGGTCAGTGTGGTCGCTGGTCATTTGCGTCAAATCAAATTATCCACTCGCACAATCTATGTCACTTGGGACAGGATTTAGCACGGAACGCTTCGTCTCTGAAACTGCGGCCCTGATCTGTCTGGCCCAACACCGAGAAATCTAAGAAACCAGGAGCTCCAAATGAGCTCCAAATCATGCCAAGGCAGAGAGTAGGTTCAACCTCTCACCAATCCAGGTGTATCTTAGAATCCATCTTACAATCCTTCAAGTCAAAATAAACTTCAAGTCTCAAAACACATATAGTGAATTGTATATAATTAGATTTAGATCATATTAGATTCATCTCCCAATCTAAAATGTTTAAAACCCAAACTTAGATGGACCAACCCAACTCCCCAGCACGGCCACGGCGCCACGGCGCCACGGCGCCACGGCCCGGGACCTCACTCGGCCATCCATCGACACAAAGATGCGCCGTCGGGGCACCAGGACTTTCAAGCATGCACCTCATCGCAAACGCTTCTCAAATCGATGTCGCAAAATGGTTTCTTCCATTTTCTTCCTGATTTCATACATCATACCGATCATACCCCTCTATATATATATATATATGTTCAAATAAATGTGTGCTGATGTATTTTGGAAGATTTGGAAGTAAGTCTATCATTCTGTCTTGCAATCAAGATAGATATGGAACAATCAAGACAGACTGCTCTTCAACATCTCAGCTGCACGGTCACCAAGCATGGCACCATCGTAAATCTGCTCCACACTCTCCACCTTGGCAGTCGAAGGTAACCTATGAAACTGGGAAAGCTGGTAGTGTCACCCACCGGATTATTCCAAGTAATTCCAAATGATTGCATGTTATCCCAAGTTATTCCATGCTATTCTCCCAATGAAACATGGATAAACGTGGTACCAGTTGTGTCACTTCAGATCCATCGCCATAAGCGCTGCCTGACAGTACTTGCCATTCTGCTGCAACTGAAGTTGCTGGTCATCCAGCACCTCGCGGGTTGGGAAGTGATTGGAATCCAGAACATCTCAAGCCCCTTCACCAATATGTGAATAGAGTCCCACCATATCATAAACTTCTTTGTTGGGAATTCATTGTTTGTTTTATGGTAGTAGTGTTATATAATTGAAATTCACAGTCATTAGTACAACATGACGCTGGGAAATTATCATTCACCATTGGGTGCGTCTGGTAATTCCTTGCTGGTTAAACCATGAAACCAACTCCAGGAACTGGAAGGAAAAAACGACTTAGACAACCACAGATGTGGTGCGGTACTTTAGGGAAGGCAAAGTTGGATCAATGTGCCGTTCATGAGCCATGACTAACCCATAAACAATCATCAATTCAACAACTCAACCGCTTCAAAATGCTTCATCAATTTGGGTTACCACAACTATCGTCCCAACTCATTAAAAAAAAACATCCCAAAACATCCCAAAGGTATATTCTCCCATTAAAATCCATGAATTACCATCTGGTTACTATTGGTTATTTAACAGTTCGCCATGGAAAATCACCATGTTTAAGAACGGTAAACCATCTATTTCTATGGGCCATGGCTTAACCATGGCTATCCCATACTGGTTGGATAACGACTGATCCCCACCTCCAAGGCGTTCCGCAGCTCCGCCAGGGAGGGAGGCAGCTGCAGCTCCCGCAAAACGGCTTCGCGGTTGGGGTACTGCACGAAGAGACTGAGACCTCACCATAGCAAGTTCATGGATGTTATATGATGGTAATAGTAATATTATGCTAGATATAAATGATATAAATGGAAAAACATATAATCAGATATAAGTTATATAAGTATCATCATAAAGATAAGATGGAACAATACATCTTGGGGGGTGTGAACTGGATGTTGTGGGTTGTTGCAACAACGAAGTCGATGTCGCATTCATTTGTCTTGTCCGCTTTAATTTCGAAAAAGCAATCTCAAGGCCTTCTACCAGAAGTTGGTTCAAAGTTGTGGTAGGGATCAAGTGGTTCAACGTTTTCGCTTCATTTGGATGTGATTTGGAGGACAACAGCACAAGAAATCTGGCAAACAACTGGGAAAACTCTACATAAAACCCAAATATTTCTAGTGGTTGCGACTCTGCTTCCCTCAGCTTCTGGCCGGTGGCCATTGCACAGCTGGAGCACAGCCACAGTTGATCTTATGAATGCACTTCAAAGCAAATGGTGGATAAACCTTACAGGTCTGTCCCATAGTTGGTGGAGATCCATTCTCCCATGGAATCTGATTGATTTCTCTCCTTGAAAATGGAGATGTTCTGTGGCCACTGGTAGTTGAAACAAGGACTCACCGCAGAAACGATGTCATCAATAGCATCTTGGATGTCAATTCCAATGCTCCAATTGGAAACCACAGGGGAGACCATGGATCGTGGGCCTCAATTTCCCAATTGGGGGTTCATCCATTTGGCTGGAAACCTGTCAGGAAGGTACCTTTCTCTGTGCGGGAAACCCCCAACTGTTGGGGACCTCCCAAGGGGGCGACCCCATCAATGACTACTGCTGGAGCACCTATGATCTGGTCGACCAATCCCGCACATGTTGCTATGTGTTGATGCTGACATCTCCCTTGATACAAACAGCTGCCCAGTGCCCAGTGGCTGAGCATGGGATAGAACCCACTGCAAGACCAAGTCGGTGCAGCAAAAAGTTCCAGCAGATCTCCGCCAAATAAGACGTTTCCATAACATGCGGATCTGGAATGTTCACCAAGACTGGCTGATAATGCATCAGAAGTACCAGTATCAATGGACATTGGAATCCTCAAGTTCCCTTTCAAATCTTTCAACACTCATCGCATCTCATCGCTTTTTTCGTCGGCAGGTGCACACGATTCGTCATCGCAACATCTTGGTAGCCATGATAAGCATGGCTACCGCTGATACCAGGTACATCTCGGAGATCATCAACGGTGCAGGATGTGTGCTGCATTGCCATGTAGGGAGCTGATGCATCGTGCCTGGTGCGGTGCCAGTTGTCCACAGCGATGAAGAAAAATCATTCATTTACGACATGTAAGCTGAGGTTGAAACATATGATGGGAAGTTTGATGGTGAAAAACACATCAAAAGGCAACTTTAAGCAAACCTCCAGGTCACCCAGAGTCAAGTCATTCCTTCAGAATCTTGATCAGGATGCCATAGGATGTTGGATATCAGCAGCTGTCGGACTTCAGGTCTCACATCGTGGCATGAAGTAGGCCCAATCCGCTTCAGCCTCCAACCCCTTGGCGCGTTGTGCCCTGAGGGATGCAGCCCGTTCGCGGTGATAGGCCGCTTCTAAGGTCAGCGGCAAACAGATGGGTTTGTGGATCCAAAGCGTCTGGTCATCCACCTCAGCCGAGCCATGCTGGGGAGATTCGACAAAGACTGCGCTGAACCACGTGTACCCGTGTACTACTCCACCCAAGCGACCTGGTTTGCTCGTTTGGATCCGTTTCCCCTATTGATCTCCCATTTCCTTGCCGTTGTTCCACACAATCCCCATCCATCCCCTTCCCACTTTCCACCAAAGCGCCCAGGGCAGGTACTCGCAGCCGAACCAGTGATGTTTCCTGCCCAGGCGAATCCGATTCGCCTCCTCCGCGATGCGGTTGGCCTTGCCGCCTAGGTGGAGGCCGCCGAGGCGCATGGGATGTAGCGCCAGGTCCAGTTGATAGGTGAAGAGGAAGGGGGGCATACAGAAGAACCTGGCGGCATTGAAAGATATTGAAAGAGGTCTGGGTCAAGAAATATTGGGCAAAAATGGGAGTAGATGATGTAGATGATGTAGTATGGAGGAATCTTGGACCGTTTCAGAATGTTTTAGAAACCAAACATGATGAAAACCAGCGATTCCCAAAAGGGTCTCAAAGGTTCACCCCACATCAATTTTCTCTAACCCAAATCCAATGAAAAGGGATAAAACTGGAATTGACCGTTTAATGCTCAGTGCCAAGCAACACAATGTTCAACGGAAGAAAGGCATTGTCCCAGTGCAGCCGCACCCCACGCCAACGCATCGACATACTCCGCGCCAAAGACATGCCTCCGACCTCATTTCATCCCGCTGGATCCCGCTGGCGGCACGCTCATGTGACCAGGAGCTGCTTGATGTTGGATATGTTGGTTGAGCATCCAGATATTCATGCACTTTTTCAATGATTGCATAGTGTTATTCCCCAAGAAAATTGGGAAAATTCACAGGGTTGATCCTTGCTATTCCTTGTTGGTCCCCATCATTTTCCTCCCTCCCAACATGCCAAGCATCGAAGGCATAGTATGCTCCGATCCAACAGAGACGTTCCCTGGTGGTGGCGATGCGCACCGCCACTTCCAAGTCTTTGCTCTTCTTCGCCTGTTTGATGTCGGCCTCAGTCCATGAGAATCCTATGAGAATCCTATGAGAATCCTTGGCTTAATCAAGCAGTACCAGAGGATGAAACAACCTCAACTGGGCATCGCACAATGTGAACATGAACCAAGAACAATCAAGACCATAAAAAAAATGTATAAAATTTCCTTCAACCTGCTTCAAATGTTTTTGAAACAGCTGGCCCAGACACATTTTTGAATGATTGGAGGATGGCTCTAAATGTATGTGTCAAGAGACAGGGCAAGTCAAAAGCGGCGGGTTCTCCGCTGGAATTTCCCAAACATCATGACCCGCGCATCATTCCCCAAGCAGTTCTCAGCCCAGCCGCTAATTTGGAGGCGAGCACCCCGCTTCGTAGGCGTTCTTCCAAGGAAAAGATGGACCCCATGACGACAGGTGACTTTGGGGCGAATGGCCCTGCTGATGAGGAACCCTCAAAAATTGTTGAACGGTTGACGGTTTCAAGGGAGGTAATGGGAATTCCCTTGAAACAATAAGGTTTACTTCCAAGGGTAAACAATAATGGTAATACCGTAATACCCATATTATGGTTTACCACCATAATTAACCATCATTTCTTGAAAAAAAATAAACCTTCTCAAACGTTGTCTCTGAGCAGGAACGGATGGAACCACCGTACTTTTGTAGCCGCACTGCACTGCAGGAGAAACCTTTTGCAACGATATCCATTATCATTAATTATGTCTAAAGGGTAGTAATAAACACATCAATACTTTCAAGACCACAGCACTGATCTGGCGTGGCATGGTAAGATCTTGACTGTCATGAGTTCAAGAGAATCGTTTTCTGCCAGGAAAATCCTCATCAACTGTTCGACTACAAGTCAGAAAGCGTCAAATGATACAGCACATGCTGCAGTTTCACAGCTTTCGTCAAACCAATATGGGAACCAACCTTTTTTCTGTGGCCAGGCGTCATCTGAGCTCAGAAGCTCCAAAGTCGAAAGCATAGAAGAGTTATTGGTCAGCGAGGGACCAGAATTTCAGAAAAAAGTCAGATAACCGAACCGAACTAACCTTGACCAAGTCCATCTACTAGTTCACTCCACTCGTCCGGGTTCCAACAAAGTTGCCTCGGCTCAATGCGCAAGCTACTGCCAGAACGACAAGTCAAAACCAATTCGGCAAGTTCAAAACCCTCGAGCACAGAACTGCAACAGGTGTTTTTGGCAGTTTCGCGACCATCGCAGTCTTTACGTTCTTTGAATTTAATGTTGAATTCTGTCTGGCCAAGGGTGAACTCTTCACTGGCAGTTGTTTCAAGTAAAGCAAGAAACTTCAACAAAAATGCAGCAAGTAGATGCAAATGCAAGCGCTCTACTCTTTTGATCAAGAAGGTGTAGCGTGCTTCCCATGATAAACATTTTGTCAGCCACTAGCAGCCAAAATCTGAGCCTCAGCCTCTGCTTCACGTTCTTCTTCGCGGCGTTGCCTTGCCGCTTGGCACTGCTGGACCCAATTTGTCCAATTCACCTGGTTCACGGCACGTTGCAAATGATCATTCTCCTTCTTTGGGTCCAGCACCTTCTGACACCAGTTGGCAACACCACGGGCATCAAGAACAAGATCACGGATGTCTTCAGCAACAGAGTCGATCTCTTCACGTGTGCGACTCAGGTCTGCAAACATGATCTCAACATTGGTAAATTTTGAATTTAAAAATGTCGAAAAGAAATTTCCCATCCGTGTTCCTTCAAACTTCTTCGTTCGTGTCCTTGAAAACTCCTCCTTCATGTTGGCCAACATAGTCTTCTTGATCGTGAGTAGCTCTTGTTTGGAAAGCTTCTCGCCTGTTGCAAGCCTCCTCTTCTCAATGACTTGATTGAGCAAGATGAGAACATGAGGCGAAGGGCTTGCAGCCTGGTCCAAGGTGACTACAATGTTTTTCACATCGTCACCTTGCTCCAATCCTTGGTAGGAGCGAATGTAGACATAAGCCTTGGCAGCACACGCCCCAGCCCTAAATTTTCCAACGAGCTCATCTTGGGCAGCATCCAGGCCTGGTGTGTCAATGACCAAAGCTCCTTGTCCCCACTTGTGGGCATTGACTCCCTGCGTCCGACATTCTTGCATGTAGCCAGCCCCCTGCTCCAGCTCTGGAGACATCAGCAGTTGTGAGACGAGCGTTGTCTTGCCAGAGTTGGCAGGGCCAGAAACGAAGACTGTTGGGATGCACACTGTCTCTTTGATATTGTGGATGATCCTCACTGCTTCGTATCGTCGGTTGACTTCTTGCAGCCCTGGGCTCCTCAGGCCCACAAAGCGACCGGTGGCTACCCATTGCGGTACTCCGGACACCTTGCCAAGCTCAACCAGCTCAATCAATCTCTTTTCTTTCTCGAACTCATCATTCCTCAAGAAAGCCGGAAATTCGACCAGGGAGCAGCCTGCCTCCTCAAGGAGCACTGCCAACATCTGGTTGTATTGGAATGGCAGGCGGTCATCTGAGAGGCGCAGAGCCATCAAAAAGGCAAGGGAAGAGACGCCTCCTGTCAAATAACCGCCTGTGGCAGGGAAAACTGAAGGCAGCAGAAGACTGAGGCCCCCGGAATACACAAAGGCGGCTGTCACGCCAGCAAACCCAGCTACTGTCAAGATCCCGCGAGCAAACAGCCCCTTTTTGCTGGGAAGTTTCAAGCCGCCAGGTGGACATATCCAGTCTAGCGTCGCTTGGATCAATTTCTTGGCGTCCTCTCCTTCTCCTACGTGGCACAGCGCTTCTGCTGCATTTGCCTTTGATACGTGGTAGTGATCCATAAGACCGAACTGACCCAGCTGATCCAACCTCACCAACTCCTGTAGGAGGTGTGTATCGCTAACATAATGCTCCATCAGCCATGCCTGCTTCAGAGTCCGTCGAACAAAGTTTTTGTCGAAGCGCAAGTCTGCATCCCGCGCAAGCCCCATGTCCACGCTCCTGGAGGAGCTGAAATCTGTACTGTTCAGTGGAAACTCAATCAATGGTCCGACATCAGGGCGGAACCGCAACCGCTTGCTGTCCTCAAGTTTTTTGCTTTGGTCAAGTCCTTGCTGCTGCAGTGTCAAGAATGTATCTTCTTGGAGAACTGGCACTATGCTTTCTGCAACTTGAAACTGATCGTCAGCGAACAATTCCATCCCTGCAGTGCCGAGAAGGTCAAGATTCTTGCCAATGATACCGTAAAGCACCTCGTTCTTCTCAAGATCCGAAAAAACTATGACACTTACAACATTGACTTGTGATGCCACTGACATGGGGGAAGGAGCATCTGTGGGGCATGAGCCGGAGGAAACTGAGCGGCTAGGTTCCAATGGTACTGGAACATCAAGAAACTCCTTCACAGGCCTGTGGTTTAGAACCAGTTTGTAGGCAGAAACGTCATGCCTCCGTATGTTGTCGTTTGTCAAATTGCCTTTGAAGCTCTTGTCCAAGAGCTTGGCTGGCCCAAGTTCCTCAAGCACCTCCATTCCTCTTGACCAAGTACATTCGTACGGCCCAGCAGCAGGCGCTCGGAGGAAAACATAGATTCCAAACGGCTTGTAGATGTCAATCACTTTGGCAATGCTCTTGGCAGCTGGCAACATCGCCAAGCGTTGCAAAGCATCAGCCACTGGAGCAGAGGGCAAGAAATTCAACAAGACTGTTGAGAGGCCTGCTTTGCCAGTCAAGCAGTTCAGGATGCTGCCGATCTCTTGTGGAGACGCATCAATGCTGCGGGATAGGTCCGACCCTGCCCTGCACAACTCAGCTAGGCTTTCTGCCAAGTTGAGAAGTCGAGGAACTGGGTCATCCCCATTCACAATGTTCACGAAATGGGAAGTCCAATCCAATCTCTCAACATCTCTGGCAACTTCTTCGCAGGCTGCCAAGGGCGCAGCAAAAGCCACCGAAGAAATTGGAAGCTTCAACTGCTTGAACTCGTCCTGGCGCTTGGCCCACAAACAAGAGAGATGGCTCACAGCCCCCCCAAGGGAGTGGCCGGTGAAAATCATAGCCTCACAGCCAAAGTGCTCCACCATTCTGTGCATGAATGGGAATTTCATACAAGCGCATCTCTCCCAGAATCCTCCGTGCACCTTGCCACCAACTCCCACACCAGAGACAGGGATCAGGGTCAGATTCGTTGTCCAATCACCTGATGCATGCGTTCCAGCAAAGGCTGCGAAAAAGCAAGATCTTCCTGAAGGGGCCACCACACAAAACAGGTATTTTTGCTTTGTTCGTGGACATTGGGCATGCAAGAAAAGATCAGGAGCACGTCCCTTCTTGAACTTGGCAGTCTCGTCTGAGTCTTCACCGCAAGACTTGTAGGCTAGAGCACAAAGCTCAGCACACACCATGATCTCCTCATGAGTGATGGGCAAAGGCGGATGACGCAAGATTTCGGCCATTTTCTTCCTGTGGAAAGGAGGGAGCATCAAATCACCCAAGCCGAAGTCCACATCATTGTGGAGACGGGAGGTGAATGCTGCAACTAAGGCTTGGAAACTCTGAATGCCCAATTGCTGAAGTGCCTCTATAGATCCCTGATGAAAATGCTCAGGGACTTCAGCTTGTTGGAGAAGCTTCAGGTACCAATGTCCAGATGCTTCGGATGACGACATTGGGCGACGCTCACGGGTCGTTGCGCCGGGATGAGCTTGAAAGCCACAACTTCGCCAAAAAAGGAGATTATGTGTGTCCGCCGGGATGTACTTGAAAATGTGCCTTTTGACAGCACGACTATCCCTTACTCTTCTGATTGGAAGTGGTCCTTGTGATCATGTGATCCGCTGCTTGCAGTCTGAGATCAGCACATGTGAAAGCATCAACCCATCAACCTCGGGAGACAGATACATGAACGGTCTGAACTGGAATGTGAACGCATGGCCTGATAAACCTGTGGGATAGGTAGTTTCTGAACTGCCAAGCAGTGACTTGGATGATGCACCTGCAGATGCTGGGTCACCATCACCTGTGATATCCACCGGGTCAACCCCCGTCTGTTCGTATGGTCCCTGAACTTAGGAGATGGTTAGGAACTGGAAAACAAGCGCTTCTAAGTGGGGTATGATATGATACGATTGGATATACCTCAGGTCCAAACCATCATATACTAGATAATGCTTGTACCAGGGATAGGATCGTCCCAGTACTTCTTGCGAATGACATTGTTACATTGTTTATTTTGTGCACCCGCCGCATATTCAAAATTCCCGACAAACAAGTGAAGGATACAGGTCGGGACAATTGTCCGAAACAGGTCAGAGGCACATCACAGTCAAGGCAAAGACAAGGAGAAACAAATCAAGTGATTTATGTCTCAAGATTTATGTTCCATTTATGGTCATATAAAAAAACACATCACACGTCCAATTCAACCGTTCCCTCCATCATGATTTTTTGGCCAAGCCACAATCTTGAGTCCAGCGAGCTGCGCGAGCTGCACCACAGCAATGGCAACGAAGGGCACGTGCATCTAAAAGAGTCACGTGGATTATTTCAGGATGTCAGGTCCTGAGGAAGACTTCTGGGAACAGCTACCTTTACTTTGAGATTCCTCACTTGTACTTCAATGCTTGCAACTCTTGCAACTGTGGTCGGACCTATATAGGTGTCTATGCAAATGCCGGATCGAGCAAGCTCCGAAAATCGGGAGCGAAAAGCATGGATATGTCAAAGACATTGCAGCTTGATAAGGCCCAACAAAATCACCGCATCTTCTCCAGGAAATTCATCAGCAAATTGCCAGCAATACAGTGATCCAGTCATCCATAAAAACAGTTCACCTCGCAGAGGAAATTCGGAGAGTTCCAAATGCTACGCTCAAAAATCCGTCTTCAAATTTCGATTCACCAACTTCTAAATGACAGGCATCTTCTGTAGCTCTAACATGTGACCACAGCTTGCCGTTGCGCACTGTTTGGTCAAACCAATCGCTAGAACTTTGCCGCATTCTGCGGCACTGCAACTCAGTTTGGTAGCGGCCAAGTCGAATCCAGGATGCCACTCATCACCAAATGGAACTAAACTTGCGTATTCTCCAAGTGTTGGTTTGTTTGTAACTTCCTGTCCAACCAAAACTGCCTATCTCTCAACTATAATGGCCTAAAGAAAATGCCTACTGGACCATGTTTTGCAAAATGGTCCTTTGTCTATGTTGCTTTTCGCAACTCTGTCTCAACGCACTCAATGTGGTCACACAAGTTCAGATTTTCCAAACCTTTCCGTAGATCCCAGGTTTAAACTATCCAAGTTGAGATCACGTGATTTCCGATGGCTTTCTTGACCAACAAACCTTTCCACCTTAGCTCCGAAACACTTGGCAACTCAGCCGGACATCCTCAGAATCGACTCCACCGCGTCGGGCAAATTTTCCTCCACGCGCCAGGCCGGGTCCTGTCAGTCGTTTGGTCTTCGGGGTGCAAAAATCAATGGGACATGGAGAGAATAACACAACTCTCCCTCTCCTGTGTGTATAATGCGTTCAAAATGAAAGATCTGGCCAGGAGGGTTTATGGAAACCCACTCAAAACGGAGAAATATGGAGAAATATGTTTCAAAGGACTGCGGACTGCTGAGCAACCATTTGAAAGCTTGGACTTGCGCTGTGAACTCTCAAACATCAAAGTTGTCTCAGCCAGCGGTGCGCCTCTTTGTCGTTGGATCCAACGCCACCCTGATAAACGCCTGCCGCACCATGCCCGGAACCCAACGACGAGACGGATAAGCGGAATAAAAGTTGTGTCTGCAACACAGAGTTGACAGAATGAGCATTCCACTTTTGGTAGCTTTGGGTAATCATGGAGTCATTAACCATGGGTTGGGTGGGCAATTATGGGAGAATTTGATGGTAATTCTGGGGTAAAGGCGAAGTTGCTATACCTGTTGGCGGCTAAAAACACAAATCCATAGCCCTTCCCCAGCTGCCTGTGCACACGAGGATGGATCGCCATGGATCTCCAGCACTGTTGGCACCGCGCACATCAGCAGCGGGATTGTCGCCAATCATGTAGATCCTGCTGCGAATTTCCAGCTTTCTCTGATTTCTCTGGGCGGATTTTCAATGAAATGTGGCATGACAATTCTGAGACCTGTGGCATGACAACCTTGAACCATCAATCACAGTATGGCCACAGTATGGCAGCGAAAAGTGCAGGTCCTCTCAAAGTCATCATGCTGGGCCAGCTGCGACAAAAGCTTCCGTGCCGCTTGGAATTGCACAGCATAGGGTTTGCCGCACTCCTGATGTCCCAAAGGCAGGATTAGCGGGATGCATTGAGGGAATATGGAGTTGTATCCAATGGTTCAGCAACAGATCTTCTGCCGTTCAGTGATCCAAACATCTCAGCCCTTCCTGAACCCTTCATCCTGAACCTCCAGTGGGCTGCGGCCAAAGGGTTTCCACAGCGCCTGGTGCGCCCGGGCCATTGGATTCTTCGTGGCTCTTCGTCAAGGAGAAACAGATCAGAATTGAAATGGGACATTAGAATCTACCCTGATGCACTGAGGTTTTGCAATGATTTGCAGGATATGTTGTGCAAGTTTAAAGGTGAAAAATCCTGGTGATGGGGGTATTCTCACCTCATCAAGACCTTGGGCAGCACCATTTTTTGACACAGCCATGGAATAAAATGATAAACAAATCGGAATCATCACTGCCCTAGAAAAGGGGAGACGTGGTACTAGTACAGTATGTATTTGCTACTAACGTCTCAACATGCTATCATGTGACCAGATTGGTTTGTTGGCTCATCACAGCAGCACTTCCTTGCCTGGAGACACTCCACAAAGGCACCGGTGCCAAAACGTGGCACCGGATAGCCTGCCTGTGTCAGAGCTGGGGCTGTTGAAACAAAGGGATTAAAAACATCGTAAAACAATGTAAAACAATTCTGATCACCGTGTTTAGTAGCTGTTGAAATTCTAGTTGAAACTTGAAACTGTCAACTCACTCGCTGAGCGTTTCTTCAAAACCGTACCAGCTCAAATTCGACTAGAGGTGTGAGGGCAGTTGACAAGGGCAAGTGCGCCACACCCTAGGTGTTTGGCCCAGTCACTTTGATGAAGCCCGCAATGTAAAAACAGCGAAGACACTACTATGCTGCACAGCATCAAACCGAGAATCCATCTGATCAAAAGATATCAAAAGTCTGGATTTCGCGCGTGGCACCAATCCTCGTATGGTTTTTCGTTGAAAGATGTTACCAGCAGAAGACCATCCATCCCCAACTTCCTCGACTCATGGTCTCCCGCTGCCTGCCACAGGAAGTCGGGATTTGAAGACCACAACTCCGCACATTGGACACCCGTCCCATTCGTCCCAGTCGTTCCGACACCCAATGGTCGGCCACCCGCCAAGACGTCGCTCACCACCTGCTTGGTGCCATCCGAACACGGCCATGGGAATGTCACAGCTGGCAGCACCAGAAACGGCAACATCCTTGAAACCAGTTGTACCTAGTTCTAGCTTGTTCTAGCAACTTTCTGGCCTCATGATTTTCCAAACATCTTCCCATACTGTCCCACAGTTGTATTCATGGCAGTGGTTGAGGATGTTTCTGAAGGACCATGTCATCCACCACTGCCTGCAGCTCCATGGCCCAGTCACTTGGCCAATAGAAGATGAGCACCGCCTTGGGCCACGTGGCACGGACGTGATGGGCCATGTTGGATCGGTGGATCAACGCATCTTCAAAGCACCAAGGCACAGGGTTTGGATCATCAATGAATATGAAAGATATGGGTAGATGATGGTAGATATGGTAAGTCATTGAAAATCATCACAATCTGCAGTGGATTAAGTATGATTTTGAATGATATTGTATCTGATCTGAAGGCAATCTCAAGGTTTCACATGTTGTCAATGCATCCATGCCCTGCTGAACTGGCCCAGCTATCGCCAAGCTACTTCGATGGGCGGAGCGTCAGCAGCATTCACCTGAGCTGGATTGCCCTGGACCAACTGCTGAAAAAAGTGGTGGAGAAGCCAAATTCTATATACATGTTATATATACATTTACATAATATACATATGGATACGTATGGGCTAATCATGAGAATGATAATGATAAGTCGAATGAATGTGCTTCTTCTAGGTGCTTCTGCTATTGCTTCTGCTCCTGTCTACTTGATTAATGATCGTTGGGGATTATGATAGTGATTATGATAATGATAATGATAATGATAATGATAGTGATAGTGATTATGATAGTGATTATGATAATGATAATGATAATGATAATGATAATGATAATAATCATACATAATGGGCTGGGTTTTCAATTCTCATCAGTTTTGAATGTTTTGATCCATCCCCACGTGTTAAAACGCATTGCATCCCATTGTATCCCCATTAGATGCCACATTATCTCAATATGGATAGACATTCCATGACATTCCCATTGATAATGTCCCCATTGATACCATTCATGTCTTCATGTCATTTCATGTCCCCCAAAGTATGACCTGCTTCAGTCTGCTTCAGTCTGCTTCAGTCTGCTTCAGTCTTCGGCATCCAAGGCACATCCACGGGAGGCAGCGTGCAATGTGTCACCGGCCAAGGATAGATCTCGGGCAAGGCCTTCACGATCTGACTGCTGGTGACCTGGCATCCAAGGGCATTAAACTCACTAAAACAATTTGGATTTGACGCTTGCAAATTATTCCATTGCATGTTTGGATTGTCAATCTTCTCAAAGCTCGAACTCCACCCATTGCAAGAATCCAATCAAGTCAACAAAACAATTGCACTTAAGACTTAAGTCACTTAAATCTTCCTCATCTCAAGTGAAAAATGTGAAAATCCCATCTGAGCAGATTTCGGTCAAGGTGCCGCCATGTTGCCCACATCAAAGCCATAGCTCTCAGCCACTTCCGCCGTGTCCTTGGAACCCACCAGGAGCACGCGCTTCTCGCGGAAGCGTTCCTGAAGCTACACACATCGGGATGCCAAAGGTGTCTGTGAGATCCAGGGTATACTGGATGCCTTCATGGCATTCTTGGCCTTTTTTGTTGGTCAAAGCTTGCTTTGGAGCAATCAGTTTCTGAAGATGTGAAGAGTTCACATTCCCTGAATCCTGTTGAAATTGTTGAACGTCTTTAGCATTCTATATGTCCAATGTTCATCATCCCTACCTCCAATGCCCAGCGCGTTGTGATCCAAGTCTCTGCCAAAGGTCGGAACGGAGTATGGGAAAGGAGCATGCGATCAGCGTCAATGCCTTTGACAAAACGGATGGACTGGTTCCAAGGTTCCAAAATCCAAAATCGGTGACTCCAATAGAGCATATGAATGGCTTTACATATCTATGTGTAGCTACTTAGAACTGTTTCTGGTTGCTTGCGTCTGACAATGTCTTTTTCCTATTTTGATATGCAAAACCGGTGAGATCTGTCAATCAGAATCTTCTGGCCCGTGTCAAAATCTAAACACATGGTGTCATATGCTTCTGAGTCAAAATTGGAATTCCATCTGTATGCAAAGAAGCTACGCAATTTGGAACCAGCTTACGTTAGTCCTTCAGAACAAAGAAGACGGGAAGCAAATAAGGGTTGATCACACATGCAAGGATTGCCTGGCTTCCCATGATGTCGAATCATAAAGGACAGTGTTCTTGACTTTCATGTCAATGTGTGATCGACATTGAACGCCAGGAATTTTAATGTCTGTGGGATCACCATCCTGTCAACATGTCGATGACAAGATACCATCAACGCCCAGCAGAGAGCAAAGCTCTTCCGCTTTCTTTTTCTCAGTGACACCACCTTCACAGCTCAACCGGCGGCGCAAAAATGGTGCGCATCCCTGGATTGGCAAATGGCTGGGAATACTAGAAGCTGACGCTAATGTTGAGGCATGCACTGCTCAAGCTGTTGCATCATATAATAGTAGAATTCAAGACTAACCCAGCAAATCAAAATTTGATGACAAGGCAACAGAACAAAGAAAACTGTTCCATCACCCAAAGCATCCAAACATGTCCAATAATCATCCAAACCCACGTCACCTCCTCCCCAGCTTACTCCCCCCCATATTTCCATTATATTCCCACATCACACCTAGATCATATGGATAACACCCCTATATCAGTGAAGGAAATCCCATCTTGATTCCCCACATTATCCATTAAATTCATTGATATTTTAAGTTCCATTCCTTATCCATTCCCCATATTAGTTCCCCATCTCGATTCCCCTCTTTCCACACACCTCCGTTGGTCATGAAGACGAAGGGTATCTGCTGCTGCCGCAGCCTCCGCAACGCCTCCGCAGCACCGGGCACGGCGGTGGCGCCGCGCGTCACCACGCCGTCGATGTCCAGCACCACAGCCGTGCGACTGAGGCAGCGACTGGGGAGCTACAGTTCTGTTATTTTTTCGGGTTTGGATCCCATATAGATTTGGGTGATTTTGGATGGGTTTGTCTGAAAATGTTGGGATTTGTTCGAAATTTTGATGGCTTAGAACCTGAATTTCTTCGTGGAGATGGCCATGTTGGGGCACTGATGCCCCATTTTGAGACAAACCCACATCATGGTTGTCGGGGTATGGTTAATAGCATTTAATATTTTAGATTATTTTAGTGGTTAGTGGTTGAGAGGTAACCGGAATGGTTCGGGATGTGTTTGACAAATAATTGGAAAGTTAGTTGAGAGGTAACCTGGGGATTGGAGCGTCGACTCCGCCAGTGCGGGGATCATGACTGGAGATGCAGCCCGGCTGGTTGGTAGCAGGTTTGAAAATCATGGTATTTACCCCTCCAGAGACTGGACTGCTTGGAGCGTGCCTGGCATTTCTAGCCCCAATCTGACGTGTGGCACCGGGGAAGACACGCCGCACACAGTGCACGCTGTGCCGCACATGGCCAGACCGCGTCCACATGGCAAAGTCAGTAACAGTTGCTTTGCTGATTACGTTACTTTAAGGATGGCCTGCGCTGCACATGGGGTCCATCTCTCACTCTTTTCGTGATTCATCGCCAAAGAGAACCTTAAGGAGATGTCTTGCTCATGAAAGCCATCTGCCGCAGCAGCCGTGAAAGACCAAAGCATTGTGTGCTTGTTCTTTTGCCTTTGATACAAAATCAACCAATGTGTGGACAAACGATGCTGTAATATGAACTAATGTGTGGACAAACCATGGCAATCTGCTCAGTGCCCCTGCCCTGCCATACATTTTTGCCGGGCAGCAACAAGTGACATGGTTTTCATTGTCAAAAATGGTGCTGGATCCTCTAAATCAGATCATATTTGAGGATGTTGAACATTGTTGGATAGCTGGAGCAAAAGATGCAGCCACCTCCACAACTCGCCTTTCACCACAACTACTTTCTGACTCAAAGATTCTGAATAGATGCGTTTTTGAACTGCAGTCGTGCATGGCATTCAGTCTGTGCATGGGAGAATGTTCCAGTTTCCAAATCGGATCCTCTGAAAATAGGGTGCCCTCAAATTCCATTGTTCACCATAATGTTCATCATTATTGCCATTTTGTGGTATTCGCCATTTTTTCGAATTTAAACCATTGTTGAACGAAAATAGATCCAACCGCTCAACTTCGCCATGTTTTTTTGGCGCAGCAATTACGTACTGCCTGTAGCGCCAAGCCTTCCATGACCTGGTTGGGCCCCAGATGTCGATGGAACGGAAAGAAAAGATATTTCAAAAACTTGAAAAACAGCATCCAATCACTTGGCTTCAGATTTTGATTTTTGATTTCATGATTTCATCTTTCAAAGATGGTCTGGACACAGCCAAGGCATTTTGAAGGACATGATTCTGTATTCTGTGTAACGGAAGCCGACGTCAAAACCATATGGATCAGACAGCCTGACAGTTTTAAAAAGGCACACGAGACCTCTTGCGATGAAGACACCGGTATACACGGACCCTCGATTTGATGCATTGAAGAACTTGCATACAAAGTCCTGTATGGATCTGTATGGTGTCATGCGTTCAAAATTTTCAATACTGGCTATAGATATTAAGGGTAATCCCTCAATAGATTGAAACGACGGGTTCATTCTAATATGAAGTAATAGAGCAAGACCCATGGAAAATAGAAAGATACCTTGGAACTTGGAACCCAAATTCATCAGAATGCCTTCGTTGGCAATGCAGAGGTGTTTCATAGTCTTCATTGGGAGCCCCCGCAGAATAAGGAGGAATTCAACAACACTACCCTCGTTTCATGTGGCCAAGAATCGTGATATGTCACAGAAATTCACAGAATGTCAGGGAATATCAGGGATGTGTCGTGGATATCACCCTTAGTTGGGACTCCGGCTGACGGGCTGGCTCCGGCTGACTCCGGCTGACTCCGGCTGACTCCGGCTGACCGGCTGGCTGCGGCTGACTCCGGCTGACTGCGGCTGACTCCGGCTGACTGCGGCTGACTGCGGCTGACTCCGGCTGACCGGCTGACTCCGGCTGACCGGCTGACTCCGGCTGACCATCCGACTCCGGCTGACTCCAGCTGACTCCGGCTGACTCCGGCTGACTCCTGCTGACTCTGGCTGAGTCCGGCATGTAGACTTTAACTAAAGAAAGAGTGGAAGATAGCAAAGGGCAGATGCAATGCCATGTTGGGATTTTTATGACTGGAAACAAGAGATAATTATTCTTTTCAAGCTCGTTGCATATGTCCTGTATGGGCGGCCACGGTTTCCATGGGCTGTCCCTTTTGTGCCACTTTCATGTGCGGATCTGCCGCGAAGTTCTTGTGTAAAGTTCTTTGTGAACGAAGGAGCGATCACAATTCAGAAGGTGAAGTTCAGCTACAAACATAATATGTTAAACCAATTCGGGAAAAAGGGGCTTGTAGATCAATTTCATAAAGACAACTTATGCTTGCACTAGCATGCTCGCGTGGTTTACTTGTGTGGCGTAAGCACGATGCGAGGATAAGCGTGGCACACTGATTGCAATCAATGACGTGTGTGACATATAGCTGTGGAAGATCTAACTATACTGAATAACATGTAAAAACAAACTTGTAAGTGGGGAGCCTTACCTTGTAGCATCCATGTCCATGTCATGAAATGTCAATTGACCGATGGTCATAGCAGCCATTCTATTTTTAGAAGGCCATCTGAAGGAAAGCCAATGAAGGAAAACCAATCACATATCAACTGGGTGTGTGGGATTCCCGTTTAAAATTCAGGGGGAGACGTTGTGAAAGCAAAACGTGGGCACTATACAGAATCTCTACATCAGTCTGCAAGGTTAAAAAGTTTAGAGTCAAAGAACAGTAAACTTGGTAATTCACTAGTGGCATTTTTTGGTTAAAACATGCAAATAAATGGGAATATTGAGATGGAATCGTTTTTTCCAAGCATGATCCGCAAAAGTTTGTGTGAAATATCAAGACCCCTGATTCAAAACAGTTTTGTTCTTTCTGGAAAAGAGCACCGCGCACAAACAAGTGGAACTCTTCACGTCCCGAAACATGCCTTTTAAAAAGGCAACAACTTCTGCCTTCAAGATGTTACATGCGTGAACTCATTGAAAAAATGTTGTCCACAAGAATTTGGATTATATATTATATATATTATGATATCAGCAAACATAGCTAAAGTCACAAAGGATGGATAAACGGACTTGTTGCTGCCAAGTGCTACGCATGACCTTACTTGAGAAAATGCTTGATGACAATTACATGTGCTTTATATACTTGTCGGCTGTTCTAATTACAAAAGCACTTCCCTTGAGAATGTTTTCAGTCGACTTTACTTGATCCATTTCACTGAACTTTACGTCTGGATATGTCCAATGATTTTCATCCGAACTTCAGTTCCATGGGCTTCACTTGACATTCTTTTCCATGGACTTTACTTTGCTTGATATTCAATTCAAATGGAATTTACTTGACATGATATGCAATGAATTTATCTCAGCTGATATTCAATAACCTTTACGGGAGATTGCTTTCTGTGGGCTTTACTTTTGATTGTCTTCAATGGACTTACTTGAGACACACCCCAGTTGAATTTTATTTGAGACTGCCTTAAGGGGACTTGGGACGCAATTCAACGAACTTTGCTTGAGACTGTCTTCGATATACTATACATGAGATTATCTCTAGTGAGCTTTGTCGGAGATGATGTTCAAAAGACTGCAATTGTGCCGACCTTGTGCATGTATTTGTGTTTGTGTGTGTGTGTCAGGTCTCATGTATTTTCTTGCGCATACCAGACTTCATCAATGAAGACGCTGTGGATTTCACAACGAATGTGACGAAGAAATTGTGAAGTGTCGCACGTAATTATTGTGCACCTTTGATGTATTTTAAATGCACAGCATTTGCATTTTTTAAAAACGTCATGTGCCTTCATGTAATTTGGTAAGAGCTTCATGTAATATTAGCACAGTCACATGAAGTCTGAAAAATTGCAGATAAAGTGCTTATACACCGCATCGGAAGCACATAAGCAATTACAAAGGAAATACAGAGAAATTCACACAAGTTTTAACTGACTTTCTTTGGTCCCAGTAGTTTCCATCAAAGTTCAACTAGACTGGCATGAAACGCTGCGAGAATTTGTAAGGGTTAAAGTCCAAATTGTTGTTCTTTTAGTGGGTTTGCTGTTTAGGTGGTCAGAAGCATAAATTTCCCGCCAGACCGGAAACCATGTTCGTAAAACCACGTGTTTTCAAAAAATGAGTATGGCACTGTGGCGAAACCAAAATTTGGGCGTTTTCGCGTTTTACCACAGTAAAATCCATTTTCATCGGATGGTTTTCGTGGAATCTGAAAAACAGCACTTTTTCGTCAGAAGATGCGTTTCAATGCTTCAATCGTCTTCTGCTGCAAAATGTCACTGCGGTTTATGTACCTCCATTGCCAAGATGTTGCGTGCAACAGTAAATCGCGGCTTTGGGAGGACAAACTGTTGGGAATGTAATTCTTTAATGCAGACCATGCTGCATCAATAGTACCAGTAGGACAAAAACGAAGATAACAACGTAGTTGCAAGTTGTGTTACTAAAGTCAACAACGTAGTTGGACCTTGATCGAGAAGATAACAACGTAGTTGCAAGTTGTGTTACAAGAGCCGACAACATAGTTGCAATTTGAAAATTTAGTAATGCACTTGGCAGTTGCTAGTAGAAAAGACGTTAATAGCCCCCCCCGCCCCACCCCACCTCATGCAAGTGGTTAGAAAGGTTAGTAACGCAGTTGGAAGTTGTTAGTAAAAAAGACGTTAATAGCCCACCCCATCATGCAAGTGGAGAAGTTAGTAACGCGGTCAAGCGCGGATTTGGAAACTAAAACCATGGATTCGGAAATGAACATGCACGCGGATTCGGAAACTAAGATTCGGAAACTAAAACCGCAGATTCGGAAACGAAGATTCGGAAATTAACAGACACGGATTCGGAAACGAGGATTCGGAACATAAGAAACAAAGGATTCGGAAACTAAGGAGGACGGGGCTTCCGAAACTAAGATTCGGAAACTAAAAGCGCGGATTCGGAAACTAAGATTCGGAAACTAAGAAGCGCGGATTCGGATTCGGAAACCAAAACACGCGGATTCGGACACTAAGATTCGGAAACTAAAACACGCGGATTCAGAAATTAAGATTCAGAAACTAAGAAACACGGATTCGGAAACTAGGGCTCGGAAACTGACAGACACGCGACACGCGGATTCGGAAACGGAAACTATCCATAGGGAGTTGGAAACCGGGAGTCGGATACTAAAACCCGGGGAAGCACAGGAACAGGGAGTTGGAAATGCGAAACTCGTGATGAAAGGGGATTGGATTACAATTGTTCAACATGCTGCTTTTGAATCTGAATATTCATTTGCAGTCACTTCCCCTATGTGATATGGTTGCAACTTCCAAGCCAGCACCAGCAAAATGACTGCAGGGTTGA